ACAGGCCTTTCTCATGGAATTCAGGAATGTAGGTACTCCTGTCTACAAAGAAATCAAACAGTATATTAATTAGTATCAGAGTATCTTTACACTAGTTTTATTTCCATTTATGAAAAAGTTATTGTAATCAGAAGTGTAGAGCAAAAAAAATGTAGTGAAAATCAAACCAACATAGTCGTAAGTAGAGTTTTTTTTATTCTGTTCACGACTCCATCACTTACATGTACAATCTAATGAAAACTAGACTGTCAGAGTTTTAAGGGCACTTTTTTTTTCAAGATCACAAGCAAGGCAGTCATAATCATAATAAATTGTTATAAGAGAATCAAAACGTTGTGATTCTTGCAACTCCAATTTTCTTGCATCAAGTCCTGCCTCCACTTACTCCTCACTTAATTTTTGGTTTCTCTCTAAAGGCCATAACGATGCCATTGTTTTTACTTCAGTTAATACCCTAACTGTGACTCTGTTGCCAGAAAGACAAGCCTTTCATGTAAACTCCCAAGCTCAACCCAAATTAGTTTTTTCCAGGCTCCAAGATAGCAATGTGCCCAAGTCATGAAAAGTGACACTTTTTTTCCCTTGGCTTGTTTCTGTGACATCCCTACTATCTGAGCAACTAGCAAAAGCTACCCCAACGAAAACAAAATTTAAAAAAACAGATCACAAATTTCATTTTGTACGATAATAATAATAATAATAATAATTTAATAATTAATGTTTATATAGGACTATGGTAAGGTTTTAAAATACCACATTTTTTGGTTATAAGGTGCAGCATTTTTACGATGAAAGTCTGCTTGATAGCCAAATTGTGCTATGCCAGAGAGTGCTGCACAAAACGTTCATTTTTTAAGCCATACAGGATTCATCCCGTGGATAACACTATCCGATGTTTGAACAACCAGGGCCAGGTGATATATTTTTGCTTCTAGAATTTGTCATTCTGTACTTTATCCAAGTTATCAAAATATGTGGCAGACAAATTAAATGATGTTTTGAACATAAAACTACAAGTGATTTTTATTAATTTAGAAGCCTGAAAAACACAGGACTTTTTAACTTCCAGCTTTTTTCACCGTGATTGCATTAATTCATTGCATTGATAACACTATAGAAATCATATCATATATCATATACCCACAGTTCATATATGATTTATTTCCTTTTAAGACATCATTTTACAATGGAAACTGCTGTAGTATATTGTGGCATTAACATAGCAGATAACAATGATTGATTAGCTGTGATAAATTCAACCAGCTTACCATGAAAAAAGATGAAGTAAAAATAATTTTAAACAACTGTTATTTATTATGCATTCGTAAATCGCCATTGCCATCATTAGCCATGATGAATGATGATAAGTTTTAATGGTCCGAGTAAAAACAAGTTAATTGATTGTTGAAATTAACCAGCAGCTGTAGTTGTTAATCTTGAATATTAATATTCAAAGAAACTATTGTCTTAAAGAATAAAAATAGATATAATAATAATTGTAATATTCTTCAGCCAATCAAGAACTTTAATGTTTGAAAGTAGATACCTATATTTCCTATCATAAAATTACCCTTTTCTTACTTACCAACCAGTTGTTAAATCAAAATTAAAGGTTAAGTGACTTTTTGCAGAATACAAGGTATCATGTCATCCACCGGCAATATAATAGCTGAAACTGACTTTTCTTACATTTTATTTTTTATTTTATTTTTTGTGTTTGTCGGTATGTGTGTTTGTGTGTTTAGAGCCTGAAACTTGCTTAGCATATGTTTTAACATCATACAGAATAGAACTTCAGAAAACTGACACGCATTAAGCACCTTATCATATCAAATTTCTTTGGAATACATTAATTTTTTTTGGTCTGTTAATTCTTCCTTTATCAAACTCATATAGGCTACAGATAGTATCAGTCAGTAGTAAAATACAATAGTTATCTTAAATATTATGGTTAGTTTGGAACACATGCCTGGCAAGCTTACAGGATGACTTAATTGAAGTATGATGCACCTAGCCGAAATTAAAGAAAAATATACTTTTAGCTTAGTTTAAATCCAGGTGAATTTGAACTACAAAGACGCTCTAAATTAAAAAAGGTTCTTTAAAAATATTGAGAAAAAAAAGTAGCATAAAATGACACCCCTCAGATTAAAACAAATGGTGATATTTGTAAAAAAAATGTCAAGAAAAAAAGCAATTGAAAAATGAAATGTGAATATTCTCTCTCAGAAAAGAATAAAAGCAGTACAAACCAACCATACCTGCAAAATTATGATCAATAACCACAGATTTTTATAAGTCTTAGCTTATTTTACAAATATTAATCAAAAGACATAATATTTGAAGATTAATTGCATATCAACATTTTATGCACTTAATTAACTAAAGAAATTAAAGCCCTTAATACCAGACAGTAATAAATGCCTCGGCAGACAAGTAAAGTTGTCTCCTAAGTGGGCAATATATTGGATCCTTGCACTATATACAGTGTATAGTGTATAGTAGCTTTTAAAAAGACATTAACTGTCCAGACTCTCAATAAAACATGCAGTAATAAGCTTGACATTTGACTTTTGAAATATCATATCTGTAACTGATATTAACACTCCACAAGGATAAAAGCAGTCACTTTCTTTTAAAAATGTATTTTTAATAACCAAGCCCACCTTTATGGTGTTCTGCGTAATAAATTATTGATATCGGCAAAGCCAGTCCAAAAATTATGAATAATGAAGTACACAAAAAATATATGTTGTCTACTTAGATAGGTAGTTCCTATTTACAGCTGTGAATATATTGTGGTTAAGCTGGGGGATTTAAAAAGATTGTTGATTTTCTTTTACTTTTTTTGGCTTTGTTACAGATTAAAATTTTTAATCGAGGTTGATTCTCTGTTTACCTCGCCTCCTAGCCTAAATTATTATGAATTAGGGAAACCAAGGAAATAGACCTATTCAGCTAACTAAATGTTGTACCCAATACAAACCCTTTGGGGATAAAACGTTTTGTTTCAGGAATTTCCATATCATTTAAATGTGAATGTAACATTATAATGCAAATATAGTACACAAAGAATCTTAACCCTGGGAGATTTGAATTGGGTACAATATTGATCTGAGTTAGCCGAATAGGTCTATTGAGAATCAATATAGGTTAAAATTTTAACCTGAATATAATTTTGACCAGTAACATCTCCACAGAATTTAGTTATTTCAAGAGTCAGTTGACAAATCACCTTAAAACCAAGGCAAGGGCAAGGCTGCATTCTTTGTGACCTTTTCACTCGTTTTTCTCAATTTTGGAACTTATTGTTTGATTATCATCTCACTGTCCATAGTTTTTCTTTTCACTAGTTTTTCCTGAATTTTTGAACTTATCGTTTTATTATTTCACTGCATGTTCATAGTTTTGTAGTAAGTATGATAATTTATAACCAACTGATGAGTAGATTAGTAGGTTGGGTAGTGTAGTAGTTAGTCACAGGTGAAGAGCCATATTTTTAGTTTATGGATATTATACTGTGAATAAACCATTATTCTTATTATTTATTATTATCATTATTATATAATGTTAATGCTAGAAACATGTGTCTCATGGAACCTCACAAAGCTCACGATAACAGCCAGTAGTAGGAATAAAGGAAAAACAAGCCAAGAGAAGAAAAAAGAGGAAATAAAAAAGAAACTACACAAACAAAACAAAACACCACTTTCATGTCGTCAGAACATGAACACGAGGTTACTCTTCATATAAAGCAAAGCAAGTTGTTCCTCTTTAATACAACCAAATACAGTAGTAAAAACTATCACCTCTTCTCATTACAGACTGATTAATATGGAAAATCTTAAAAGTTTTTTAAGAAAATGATTGCATGGTAAGAAAATCACTTGCTTACTGTATATTTTTATTATTAGGGTTTTCCAGGGAATTATTCTTTTATTTAAAAAAAAAATGCTACCATCAAATTATTATATATAAACATTATTATAAATCAAGGATAACAAAATATATATTATTAAAGCTTATTTTTGAATTCCTTTAAATATTTTCAGCTTAGGCACATAGCTACATGTATGATGAATAATAAGGATTAAAATGCAATAATATTATAGCAAGAAAGAGGACATTGTTTACAGTTTTAGAGTTGTTCACTCTTAGAGTCTCTTAAAATTTGCATTTAAATATATTTTAGCACTAAATATAACTCATGCTGAGTATTATTAGGGCATCATTAGGCAGGGGGAATTGGAAGTAATTTCAACGCTACATGATTATTCATGTGATTTACCAAGGTTCAAAATAGCTACCAGTTCCTGGCAGAAAGAAAGCCCCTCAAGCTGCACAGGGACAGCTAATGTGCCCTTGACAGGGCTGTCAACCTCCCATGTCTTCAAATATTGAGAATTGATGGCTGAGGGATGATAAATGACATCATAATGCATATGGCACATGATGTCATTTGTGAAAAAAACGTGCGAAAAAGATGTTTTTGGAATTGTAACATTTGACCTAATTGGCTTACTTCCCACCAATCACATTATTGCTTATAGTACAATTATGGCATATTGAAGTTTGTGAGAAAACGTTTGATGTTAAAGTAAAATAGCTCAAACAACGCAAAGTATTTGAAATTTCATTGTCAGAAAGTCAATTCTTCAAGAAATGGCAAACTTCGGCGATTATCTAGGAGATTTCAGACTCTAATCTGGAGACCACGAGAAACAGTTCAAAATCTGGAGTCTCCTGGATTATCTGGGAGAGTTGACAGCCCTGCCTTGAAAAACATGACTGACAGGCCCTTCAGACAAAACTACACACTGTAATTAATTTAACGATACAGACCTTTGCACCCCAGTTTATAAGCCAGGAAGGGATAAGTCCTCCAGGGTTATCAAAGTAATGCATAAAAGCTGTAAAAATACATATATTTAATTAAACAAATAAATATCATAAGTAACTAAATTAGATAGTGTGTTATCAGTAAGCCATGGTTATTGTTCCCACAAACATGATCACAATTTAGTAATGTTCACCAAATGAATGTTTCTGGATTAATTTTTCAATTATCATTAAAATCAATGTGTTTTATCCTGGTTTGATATGATGAATTTGAGCATTTTGTAGGCTGTTATTTCTTTAAAAACAACATTTCCCCAAAGAACTTATAATTAGTTGAGAGAATTTGATAATGGATCAAAACATTGTCCCTTCGGTGATCATTTGAGCAATTCTCATAACTGTTGTATTCATAATTTATGTAATGATATTGTTGGGAGGAAATTGAAGTTGGTCACCCAAGGGGGAGGCGGGGGAAGCACTCCCTTATTTGGCCTAGGCAGGTATGTGTTGCTGAACAGGGTATGGTTTTCAAGGTCCTGAGTCTTAAACAGGGTATACAATTTCACTAGTAAGGGTCTTGAACAGGGTGTCTTTTTGGACTGGAAGCCTTTCAAAGACTTGCGATGAGCAATCTATATTTGCAATACCAATATTTTTTCCTTAATATCTATTTCCACGATTTTAGTGTGAAAAAGCACTTAATTTTGTATGCGAAACAAAACAAATCAGGGTCAGAAAGTAGTGTCTCCTATCCTAAACTGCAGGGTGGCAAAATGAGCAACTTTTAAACAGGGTCATGGTTTGAAGGCCTCGGTGGCACAGCTTCACCCAGACTTCCCTTGAGGTCAGTCACTCTTGGTACTGAAAGGGTTTAAGAGGGAATCCACCAGGAAACTGAGTAATTTTAATTTTCAGCAGACAAAAGCCTTGTACCAGAATAATCTAAACAATATCGCATTCTTTTTTTACATTTTTCAAGGGCTATAGATATAATTAGTAAGCTGTAATAACACCAACGAAAATTTCTTATGAGAGCCCGAGAAATAAATGTCAAATATTTCCACAAAATGACACCTTATACATTAAATTTTCAGAATTTTATCTGTGTTTTCATAATTCTCTTGAAATTTGACATTTATTTTCTTGGGCTCCCATGAGAAATAGTATTTGTTGTTAATTACAGATAACTAATATCTATTAGCCCTTGAAAAATGTAAAAAAAGAATGCGATATTGTTTAAATTATTCTGGAACAAGGTTTTTGTCCACTAAAAACTGAAATTACTCAATTTCCTGATGGAATTCATCTTACGTTTTTGTCATTAAGGGAGAGAACCTACCTTTAGTGCCCACCATACCATCACTCTGAATAATAAGACTTTGATGATACTCTTTAACTCTTATAACTCCACTTCTTTCTGGAGTCTTTGTCAATAAATTACTCTCAGCTAATACCACTACAGTTGGTATGCTATTAACTTCCAGCTCACGCAAAGCCCTTGTATATATGTACTGTTATAAAGTTAACGAAAATATTCATTATAAGCACATTGTTTTTCAATCACTTCTAAATGCAGTTGTATGCTCAGGATGCATATGTCCAGAGAGACCTGGAGTCTGTTTCTCAAAAATCCTGGTATTATTACCAGGCACAGAAAACTACTGTGTTTTAATTAAAGATCAAGGTTTCAATAGTTCTGCAGTTAATATGATAAATCTGATCAGCGAACAAAAGAAAGTGGATTTTTTTGTTAGCTGTTTACCCATGCTTTTTTCCTAAAGATTTTGATTTTGATAATTTTGCTTTGGGCCTGAAAATTTAAGCTACCATGACTTTCTAGGAAAGTGCCCAAGACTGCCCAAGATGCTAAGATGTTTCTGAAAAATTCAAGACATTGCAGTAAAAAAAAATTAAAAACATGAAACTTCAATAAACATCACAAACAGTTCCTTGATTTTGAGATCAGATGAAAAGTTTCAGGAACAAGTTATTGGCCACCCTACTTGTTCCACATGTTTCATGGTTTGATGTATAATCATATGTTGGTTTATTAAATTATTTCTTAGAGATTCCTCTCTGGTTACTTCCACTATCCTACATCTTTAAAAATTAAACAATCTTTTAATTCAATTTTAATCTGGCATTTAGTAATGTAAGCTACAGGTCTAATGTTAGTATTAAATATAGATCAGGGGATAATCTGAAATTTGCATGCATCACAGATGTAAAGTGCTGAAGGATACATCTCTATTTGACATTGGCCAAGGATAGCTCACACTCCAGTATATGTTTTTAACTCCATCCTCCTCAAATTCATAGAGTTCTATAAAATATATTAAAAACAAAAACATTTAATAATCACACAATGAATGATCATGGGAAACTTATTGTGAGAGACAGGTTACTAATTGGGTCTTGACAAACTGGGAGCCAGTGAGTCACGCGAGTCATGCGAGGCATCAGTAAAAAAAGAGGAAACACAAGTAAAAACTGCAAATTCACAGATGAGGAGTTGAGCAATCATTATATTGGTTAGGGTTAAGCACTTATTGTGCTGATTAGGGTTAAGCTTTCATTTTACGAAGGGTTAAGCACTCATTTTAGCACTAGGGTTAAGCGCTGTTTAGGGTTAAACACTTATTTACAACAGTTAGCGTTCAGTTAACGTTTTTCGTATTACTGTTTTCGATTTTTATGGTAGTTTTTTTCAATGCTTCTTCAATGGTCTGCATGGCTCACATGACTCGCTGGCTCGCATTTTATACACACTCGTTGGGATTTGAACCTGTAGAACAAGCTTCAAGGGGGAAGGTTTTGTCCAGTGAGACATTTTTTGGGGGCCTTTGTAGATGGGGATTCACATTTGGGATATTTTATTAAAATTTTCAGTTAGGGATGCCTCACTTCAATATTTACTTTTTCCCATTGCTAACTTACCATAAACATAATCATCCCAGTTTTTTCTATACTCTAGGTCCATGTACACCTGTTTGCATACATCGGGAAGAACATCTGAAATTGACCCCATTATTTTATATTCATACAATCCTGACACCTGTGGAACAAAACACAAGCGGTAAAAACAAGGTCAAGCTCTAACTACATGGGTATCCTGTGCCTTTTATACCCATCTTTACATAAGTCTCAACAGAAAGGGCACTTTCTTATTTGGCTTAAGCATGTCTGTGCCGCTGAAAAGGGCATGATTTTTCAAGGTCTAGAGTCTTGAACAGGGTGCATGTCTTTTTGGGCCAGAAGCCTTTAAAGAATGTGAATCTTGGTGATGAGCAGTCTAAACTTCTGATACCAACAATTTCTTCCAAAAAATCAAATTTTAGAATATTAATATATACAGCTGTATTAATATTAAAATCAATATAGCTGGGAGAGAAAGGCAAAGTGGAGCAAAGTCTTCTTTGTTAAGAAAGCATCACAACGACAAGGCATTAACTCGGACAGATTCAAAGTTTGAGTGGTAAGCACTTGGCCAACACACGGGCTGCACTACCCTTATTTACATTAACCCATTCACCACTGAAGCGCCCATAACCGCCCGTGCGGATCCACGTCCTTTCTACCACTTATGACATCATCAGTTTTAATGGTCAAGGACAACTTTGTCCGCTAACTTGTGCAGAGTGAAGAGATCTTTCAAACCATACCAGAATGATCACAATTCAGTCAAGGACACCGGAGAAAAATGCAAAAAACCATGTAAGATTGACCTGAAAATCTGCATGAAAATCTTGTTCCATTGCCCACCTACCTTTCCTTTCAAATAGAACTAATTAATTATAACTACCTAACTACCTAAAAAAGTTAAACAAACAAAGAAACAAACTCAGAAACCCTGCCCACCCCATTAAGAGTTACACTAGTACAGGTGACTGTTCTTACAGGTGTCAGTTCTAATTGGAGGTTCTCAATGTCTACTTTTCTCACCTGGTTCTTAAAAGAAGTAAGTGTTACAGAACTCTTAATGTGCATACTTTCTTTAGATCATATTACAGGGCCAAAATATCTAATACTGTGTTTCCCATAGGTGGTAACTTATTTATTCTTGGAATCATAAAATTGTCTGAATTTCTCAGGTTATAACTTCGGTTGCTTAAATTAAAAATATCAGATATATAACTAGGGCATAAATTATAATTGACTTTGTACATTACTATTGCTATCCGCTGAAGCCTTCTGTTCAGCAGTGAGGGGAGTTTTGCCCTTACAAGAAGCTCATCGTATGCACTACTTTTATCATAATACACAGATCTAAGCGCATTCTCTTGGAGTCTCTCAAACTTTCAGTGATCAGATTTTCTACAAAAGTACCAGACCATCTGACAATAAGTTAATTGTGGCAAAAAAGAAGATTTGTAAATTCTAAGCTTGCTAAGGTTAGTATACATTAAATTTTTCAATCTCATCAGGACCCCTATATTAATTTCCCAGATACTCTTTTAGATATTTCATCTAAGTACAAAAAGTGGCTAGTAGAGACTTCAGATGCTCATCAAAAGTGACAAGTACCCTGAGTGAACAGCTTCATTTTTAATTTGTGATCAATGCAGTATATGCCAAGCTACCCTCAAGTTAATGCAGTAAATCAGATATTTTAAGGTGACCACTTAACAGGTGTTTGACTGTAGATAAACATGTAACCAACCTCCTCATATTTTCTGTAAATTTTACACTCAACAGATTCCTTTTTGGATTCTGTTAAAAATTCAAATCCATCCAGTGTAATATTGTCTATTTCGTGGGCAGCTTCTAAGAATTTTCTTTCCCCAAAACCCATTTATGATACTGCGCCAAACCTAAAGAAGAAAAACAAAAAAACAGAATCAGATGAATAAAATTATTTTTTCACCCATTCGCCCCTGAGGCACCTGTAAAGTGCCCGTGCAGATCAACCTCCCTTCTACCGTTTGTGATATCATCAGTTTTAATGGTCAAGGACAACTTAGTTCACTAACTTGTGCCGAGTGGAGACATCTTTCAAACCATACCAGAATGAGCACAAAATATTCAGCCACAGACACCAGAGAAAAAGGCAAAAAACCACCATTGACCTGAAAATTTCCATGAAAATCTTGTTCCACTACCCTCCTACCTTTCCTTTCGTCTAATCCTACCGGTAATTAAGATCCTAAAAGCATCCCTGAAAACTTTTCCCACGAAAATGAAGCCTCCTAAATGCCAAGCAATAGAAGAAATAAAGAAGCAGGAAAAGTGAAACAAGAGGGGAGGAGAGAAAGTGAAAAGTAAAAGTCAAGATTGCTATGTCTCTTTTAAACCCAAAATTTTGTTTTATGTGCAAGCCTGAACTACGCAAGCTAATATTTTGCATCTGGCACAAAGAGTATGACCTGTAAACGGCTTTGTGGTAAGTTTTAGCTTTCTATGACACGACAGTGACCAGAAAACCGCTCAACTATAGCTGCAAAACATGTTTTTCAACAAAATCTCCAGGGGCGAAAAGAAATTGGTACAATGGGGATCAAAAGTGTTGGGATCTAAAAAGTGGTATAATTTTAGTAAACTGGCACCCTCTCCACTCCCTCCCAAACAATGTTGAATTGTGAGCGAAATGGGGGATCACAAAACTTTTGAGGGCAGTGGGTTGAAGAAGGGATGAACCCAAAACCCATCCAATAATTGTTTTTGTTTTTCCACCTTGTCCAAAATTCTTTTGATCACCATTGTAGTTAATTATTTGAACATTAACTCATTAGTCCAACTAACTAGGGAAAGAGGCAAAGGAATTGTCAGGGGCAAATCGAGAAAATCCTGAGAAAGGAGACCAAGTTTTATGCGCTGCCGACCAGTGAAAATACCACTTATAAATCAAAGAATTGTTTTAGATTAAAGAATTTATTATCGTAGATTTGGCTGTTTCCTGACCATCCCAGATTTTGCCGACTGAACAAAGAAAAACTTGAAATGGTACATTATTGCTGGTAAGTTTGAGATGGTCAGGAGCATTTCTATTTTCGTGACATGTCACAGATGTCTGCAATTAATGGTCAGTGATCATTCTGGATATACAAAACCCAAATTCCCACCGTCCAGCACAGCCACACTGGCTCGATTTTTGCTCAGATCCTTAGAAAAATGTCCTAAGTGTAGCCTTTTGCATTCCAAATCAGAATGGCACCTGATTTTTCATTGCTTTGGACCAATATGTAAACAAGTCTATATGCATATACTAAAAATGAGGGCCCCACCGAAAACCGCCTTGGTGAGTTGGGCTCCCTCTATAAATATTATTATTATTATTATTATTATTATTATTATATAAAATAAAACCACACTTAGTTGTGGTAAACGTTAAATTAGAACAAACTAATTAAAGTATCTAGATCAGACGAAAGTTTAGACTCAACTTCACTACTATCGGATTTGTTTGTTTCTGTTAATTTGCTCAGTCCCACCAGTCTTTTTTAATTAAAAGATCATTATTTATTCATTCACTTAAAATGATTTGTTTTTCTTATTTAGTGACATCTACAGCTTATACTACTAACTAGCGGTAAGTGAATTGATTGGAATAAAGTCAGTAACCCTGAAATATTGATGTTTTTATATCACTGCAAAAAGTCTTACTTCTTGGAATGAAAACCCACCACTAGCATTACAGCTTTAATTATTAGTTTGTACACACTCCAAATGCGACCTGTTATCTAACTCTAAATAAGTATTCCGAAAAGTATTCCGTTTGCACCATGATATGTAGCAAGGAGACCTCAAGTTGCAGTTCATCTAAGCCCAGTTACTTAAACTTAATCATAGTAGAAGACTAACTATGCTTCAATGTACTTTGCAAGCATGGTTTTACTTTCTTCAACAGACACCCAAAATCGCTTTTTTCGTGCTTTACCTGTGATGTAACGACACCTGAATAGTCCCAGAACTTCTCCAAGCCGTAGAAAATAAATTTAAATTTTAAACCTACCTGACTGGAAGAAGGGAAGAAGTAAAAATACCCCTGAATTGTTACCTGGTTACTCCAACCGCAAGCATAAAAAACTAAACCGCTGGAAAGCCCGGCTTACTTTTCAGGCCCAGCACAACACGGAAAATGTCACGCTTCAACAATATCGTATTCAAGTGAAGAGAAAATTAAGTTTGGTCTACGACCAATATTTTTCACTGTCGGCGAAATTCTAATTAGCGAAATACTATCGAAACAGAGCGTCCTAATTTCTGTAAAATCTTACAAAATGAACATTAATAATGATTTCGAATTATTAAAGCTGAAATTTTTCTTCTGAAACGTTCTATTTTAATTAACCTAATTATTAAATTCTCATAACATGCAGTGTTGTGACAACTACCTTGAACTGAGGTCGCTCGTCACCGTGGAGTGAAATCATACTGCTAAAAATGTGGAAATTGCAAATACCGCTTAATTGCTTTCATCCTATGTACTTGCTAATGTTCCACAGAGGAATTCACCACTCATTATTAACTAAATCTAGATAAAATTACAGAGTAGGTTCTCAACGATCCATGTTTTTCGATACGAGTCATGCGATTTGGATCTTTGTTTTGCATCTGGTGGTTATTCGATGTCAACTTCCCAAACTTCAGCCTGGCGATTTAGCTCCATCGTTTGCGTTACAAACACTCAATGGGAGAATAGTTTACAGGAAAGGCAATTCAACTTCTAGAACGCCAACACATCCAGTTATATTTCATTTATTTACGAGACGTTCGGCATTTTTAGAAGCCTTGTGGAACAATGACACATCGCTGGAGGAGTTCCTTGAGCTGTCCCCTGGCAATACTCATTACGTTTTCATGTCAAGCGCAGATTCTAGGTCCATGTACGATATTTTATGGATGAGAACTCGGCTTCATAGAGCCATCGAGAAATATTATATAAGGTAAGTCATACTAAGTTGAACATCAAAAGACAGTGGTTTTCTTGTAGTCACTCTGTAGTGCAGGGCCCACTGGATTTCCTCGCATTTTTGTAAGAATTCTTTTTTAAGACCTTACAAAGATAAAATGTGGAGGGCAAACTCGCTATCAAATAAAGCCACTATGCATCTCAAAGGAGTTTGATAATAATAAAAATACATGTATAAATCTTGCTGCTATATGGATGGGGATGACCTCTCCCCATAAGCTAGGGGGAGGGACACCCCTGCAAAAAGAGAGGGCGTGGCTCAAGAAGCTTTTTAAGAAGGTACATGATGTGGTAATTTTAACTGTTGTGAAGACACAGTCATCAAGTGTTTTTCGTTTTGTTTTGTCAGTCAACACTCTAAAATTTGTTTTTTCATGGATACCCTAAGTGATACCAAAATGAGCTTTTTAGACCCCTAAATGAGATGAGAGCTTCCCCTCTCATTTCAAATAGGAGTTTCCCCACCAGAAACAAAACAAATTCTTGTCTATCAACAGCCAATAGGCTGCCAACACTCACTCAGTGCATGGGTAAATGGATATTTTAGTTATCTACACATATCAAAACACTACATACCTAGAGATTAAAATTATGCAGCTGTTTGAGGTCCTGACATGATTTATATTAAGCCTGTGCCAGGCTCTCAGATAGTATAGAAGGGACATAAATAAAACAGGCAAAGGGAAAAAAAGTCCACTGCCCTGTCTCTCCCCAACCCCTGTGCATTTTTCACATCACTTTTTACTGAACAACTGCACAACTATCTTGGAGCCAACAGGCTAGACATACAGTACTATGCCATAAACCAGCGTTTCAAGCTCTAAAATGCTCTATTTAAATAATATAGCTGTTAAAAGCTACTGGCAGTAAGGCTTACATATTTTCAAGTGTTCAAGAGAGCTGAGGGGCTTTTTGAATACAGTTAGAGTGGAAGGTGTTGGGGAGCTCTTTTTCTCCAGAGGAAACACAAAATGTCACTTAGAGAAAACAGTAACAAAACTCCCTTTATATAAAAGAATCTCAATTTGTATTCCTGGCTATATAACTCTATGTATCACACTTTAAATTTTTACTTAAAATCTATTAATAATTTCTTAAATTAATAATATATTGTGCTTTTATAGGAAGATAAACCAGTTAAAACATAGGTTTAAGAAATCCTGTCAGCAACAATTCTCAAGCAGTGCACATCATTTTTTACATGCACATCACCATGCTGAAAATGTGGAGAAAGAACCATTTGAAAAATTATCTGTACTGAAACAACACCATAGCACTTTAAAAACTACTGCCTGTAACAAGAGCTGGACACAGTCATGGAAGGATCGTCTGCATTTTACTAGCCTACCAGTGTATGAATTTGGAAATTGGATTCCTTATGCATCAATGCACTGGCCTTGTTTTGGTTCGGGTTGTGCTCTTGCTCAAGTTATATTCAAGTCAAGGGAAGGTATCAAAGTTATATTTTTCTCAATTATTGTGTTTGTTTAGGAATACTGTGGTCTCTCAATTGCACTGTAAAATGTACCTAGTGTTTTATTTTTAACTTGGTTTTAGGGGCTTGGCATTTGTGTTGGACACCCCAGTTTATTCTGATAGAGACTGCTTTGTTTGAAATAAAGAGGGTGTTTATTGACAGCCCTGTCAGTAATTTGCCCTTTTACTGCATGTCAGTGATGTAATAATATATGTGCTCTGAATCCAGAACAAAGTACACTTTTGGAAATATGGGTAAATTCCCATCCAAAGCAGAAAGAAATAAAACTACTATTTTATCTTGGAGACTTGGTGACCCCTACAAGAGAGTGGGAGATTAGTGCTGTATCCTGGAGATTCCCACATGTTCTGGGAGCTGAGTGGCATATATGGTTTATTATAGATGTACCACAAATGATTTGTCTGAGGGATTTATTTATGGCCACCTGTTATACACTTTCGCCCAGCTTAATTGGTAGTTAATTATTGAGTATTACCTTTTTTTTCAAAAAATATTTTATCTGATATCTAACATCTCATTTCACCCTTACCTGAGCTGGTCATTTTGTTTCCTTTAAGGATTTTAATCAGTTGCTGCTCACTTACTTCACTAGCTCTACTTTAGCGGCATCTGCTTGTAGCATTCCGGCTGTCACAGGGAGGTGAAGTTATCAATCAGCCATCTCCTTCATCCGTTACCTTGAGCTTTGAAGTCCATTCCATGTCACTGCTTTACCAGAGCCCATTATAAGCCAAATGTTTGGGGCTGACCCTGCCAGGTTTTGGTTTTTTGCAATCCCAGCATCATCAGAGCTCAATAAACTCTTGAATTCCAGCTTGTCCTTTGGGCAAGCGGCTCTCACATTTTGCTTGCGCAGGGCCATTTCTTACCCATCTTAGTTAATGATTTTGTTGGAGGATGAGTTGTTTCAACCCTTGTCCATTGGGCACGTCAGCTTTCAAAGTTACTTACCCAGCAAGAAAATCCACTTGTCCCATCAGGCCAGTCTACCCAACAGGACTTTTTTCGAGCTCTTAGCCTGGATAAGGGGTTGAACTTTGGAGGCTGCTGCTGCAACATTATTATAAACGCATCTTTCATTCCTGGTGCATAAACAACCAACTCCTGCTTGCAATTACCATTACTTACATGTACATAAAACTTTTTAAAGTGTGGATATACTGTGTTTAATGTAAATATGCGCCTATGTATTTTCCCGTTCAATGTATCTTCTCTTTGTACCTACATAGTTCAGATAAAAATCCTTTGTTGTTTTCTACATAGGTGAGGTGGTATTGGTGGCAAAAAGACTAGATGCAAGATATGACTGGCTGCCATCGCCACACAATTTAATTCACAGACATTCCCACTTCATCGTTAGTTACTATGGAAATGCTTGCAACCTTAAGCCTGAGTGGAGAGTAGCTAAAAAACATCTTGATAATGACAAGAAACAGAAGAAGAAAACAAGTGAAGGAAGAATTGCACTTGTGTCTCCTGGTGATTGCTCTTTATTTACCAAGGTGATTACCTTCCCAGCCTGCCAGGGAGGGGGCTTCTTCCATATATTGGCTTTTAATATCCCAGCAACATATTAACCCTTTGTTTTGGACTGTGCCAGAGACCTCTGTTATATTTTCTGGAAAATTATAGCAACTCTAGGTTTTGGGTAAGGATTTAGGGAGTTTATCAAGTTTATGTACTGGGTTAGCAAAATTCTGCTGAACTAGGTTCTTAGCATGCTCCAGGCTCATTTTGTACGTGTCAGTACACACGAGGGAGCGTTTTCAAGTTCGCTCAATTTACCCCGGGAGCTTGCTCCCAAATATTTAACCTGTTAAATATTGTGGAGCATTTTGTGGGGTGGAAATTCTGCTCCCGAAGATGAAGTATACCCTTGAAATCGTTGGCACACACAGAGGGGCTTTGCTCCCGGTGCATGCCCCTGGAGCATGCTCCGGGAGCAAAATCCCTCGTGTACATCGGTCTTAAGGGATCCAGGGTTCCAGTGGCACATCTCCAAATTCTGAGGTTGGGTTATGCTGATGACAAATTCTAGGCTTGCTATCGATTAGTAACAAATTTACTGACTTTTTATCTCATTAGATTCACCACATGAGCCAGGCTGGAGTTCATTCAATTCTCCTGTACCCTGAAGCTAATGAACCAATCAAGGAACTGACCTGTAACAGTCCACAGTGCTTCATTCCACTTCATATATCAGCTTCAATGATTTCACACAAAGATGGCTGTCATATAAGAAAGCTTTTGGATGCTAAGATGAAGCTCTTTGTTTCCTACCAATTTACTCCTCAAGAGAATTTTTTCCTGGCTATCGATGGCCAGGGTAAACTTTCGGAAGTGGGCTTGTTTCTATTTCCATCTTTGAAGTTTTTGGCTTATGAGGCAAAATGGTGAGTATTGGTACTGTAGAAATAACGTAAGATAGGATTATTGAATACAACTCTTGCCAGGCTTTCAGATAGTAGGAACATCACAAAAACATGATAGGTGAAAATAAGCAGTTTCTTATGTGCAACATAGTGCACCTCTGCACTGCACAACAGGCAGTTGTATGTTGAATACAGTCAAAGCTCCCATAGTGAAACCTTGACTAACCTGCCTACTGAACAATTTTTCTTTGTCATTTTACTTTGTCAGCTTCACTGGGCACAGACGACCCAAGTGGAAGTGGGCAGGGATGGGACACCTAACTTCCATACAAGTTACCCTCCCCTCCCTACCCATGCCCACAAGCCATGACATGCCTGAAGACACTAATACCGGGGGTGGTCTCTCCATGAGTTTGTTTTGCCCCTAGGAATCCAGGATGGAGTTGAACTCGGGCCAGCCACTCAGTAGCCTTGACCACAGACATAAAATCCGTCTGTGAAACAGCACCGAAATCCTTGTTCTCGGCCTCCACCTGTGTACTAGGCCCCCAGTTGCAGGTAGCGCCATCCGGTGGATCAATCTCTATCCAGGGGATAACACAATTAGTTTCCCAAATACTTATCCGCTGGTTAGGGATTTATCCGTTGGATAGCACTATCCTTCATTTGACTAACTGGAGCCAGGATTTGAATATGCGTACAATTAGCCAGCTGAGATTGAAGGGTAAAAAATTTGAAACAGATTTCTGGTTATTCACTGAATCCATTGGAGGTTCAGAACAAGGATATCAGTGCTGCTTTACAGACATCATTAACCAAGCAAGATTAGATTACATCTGTGATGCAGGTTAGCCACTCTAAAACAATGGCGGATCCAAGGGA